AAGAATTCTCCTTCGCGATGGGATGTCCTTGTGGACACCGTGCTCCACCACCTTGAGCACCATGCCTCCCTTCACCTGGTAGAACAACTCCTGGCTCCATGCACGTGCACACCAACGCGCACCCTCGGTCATGAGCATTTGGCCTTGCAAGGGGTGTGCCTCGCCAGCTTCCATGTGGTAGTCCGACCGCACGTTGGACCCACCCACAGCCATCACCTTCAACTGCCTGCCGACGTGGACCAGCGGTGCAGTGAAAGAAGAAGAAGATCAACAAAAGAGAAAGATTGGAGATGGAAGATTAAAGGTGGTGGCGCTACAAACCCGCCATAGATGAGCTTGTTGCACACGGGAGGAGCAGGGCAGCTTTTGCCTGTTTGGCGACAAGCGGTACGTACACCACACCCTCCACGCACTGCCCATCACCACTTTTGCGTATGCGACTCACCCCAACAACGTTGTCACACTCCCATTGCTCGCGCAGCCGCTATGTGCGCCCAAACCAAGTGCGCGTGCGCCCCAAGGCCGGTACGCCCGGCGCGTTCAGGCCTTCAAGCGGCCGCGACGGGTATGTGCGGCGCGACGAGGGGGACGAGGGGGACGAGCGGCACGAGCGGCACGAGGACGAGGGCGGGATGAAGAGAGGCGGACGGGAGCGTTTGGTAAAGGAGCTGTCCCATTTCTCGCTTAAAGCGCTCCTCAATACATCATGCATAAAACGAATTAGTCCACCATGACCAGAGGCGGACAGGAGCGTTTCATCAAGGCGCCCTTAGACGAACAAGTCCTGGCGAAAAAGGCTCTTCCCAGCCTGCCCACATCCTTCACACTTGGGCGCCTTGCCAAGGCGCGCAACGGGCGGATCGGGCCGGCTTTTTTTCATCTATCGTTTTGGCAGTGCACCGCGCCTGGCGTCAAGCCCGGCCACGTGTGGCCCTTCGGACAGGGCGTGCTAGTGGACCAGTCCGACCACAATCGCTGCAGTGCCTGCTGGGTGGTGTAGCCCGGCCTGTCATGCGCTCGAAGCGCTTCTGGTCCACCAACTTCACCACGGCCTTCCTATGCGAGTTGCCAACGCCGGGGAGGCTTGAGCCCATCATTGGGGCCATGTCACCAGCCTGCACCGCGGAGCGCCGGTTCCCTTCACCGCGCGCTACCGCCACTAGTTGTTCGTAGACAGTGTAGAGATTCCTCCGCGCTACGGGACATGCATGGTGACGCAACATGGCCTTCATGGTCGACGAGCGAATGGCCTACCACCGCCAGATCGGCTTCGACCACTTCGACATCTACGACAACAACTCCACCGACCACCTGGCCGCCTCTACGGCCCTGACCTCATGGCCCTGGCGCCGGTCGGAAAACCAGGCTTACTTGCATGTGCTGGCCTTCACCTGGGCGCGGTGCCATTGGACCTTCCACGCTGACATTGACTACTACCTGCTGCCCCTCGTATCGCCCCCCACAGTCCAGGTCATTGTCGCCCATGTGCGCAGAAACTCCAAGTGTGCTTCGTCGGTGGTAGAGATGCGCTTCGAGGGCCTGCGCACGCACCACGACAATCTGACCACCTGCCCCGACACGCCGGTGATCGAGACCTACGTGCACCGGAGGACCGATAAGGACGCCTACGACCTGGGCTTCGGGCTGGTCATGTCATCAGCCGCCGACGCCCTCCACCACGTCCACTTTGCCGAGCTTCAGTTGCCTGCCCGCCACAAGTTGGTGAAGGTGG